AAAAAAAAAAGTAAGTGGTTTTTTTAAAAGTACTTTTAAAGTAAGATGCACGTTTCGATTCAAATTATTGCTTTTTTGATTTTCTCAAACCACGCTTATATCTTATGAAAAAAGAAAAAATTTTTTCTTTTTTGTAACAATCAAATTAATTCGCTCACTTCTTAAAAACATCTATTCCGTTAATTTAGTGACATTGCTAATGAAATAAATATTTTAAGTATTCTTTATGTGTTCGGAAGAATAAATATATATCTTAAAATACTTATGTATTACATGAGCTGCTTAGAAACTAATTGTTTGTACATTCTTAAAGTCTAAAAAGTTGTCTACGAATTTCCTTGAAAAGTTAACATTTACAGCTCATAAACATAGTTCTAAAAAGGTTTGTGTACACATATTGAAATGAAAAAAACAAAGGTTTCAATTAAAACTGAATAAAAAAAAAGGTGCAAACAGTAAGTGAACTTTGAAAAATGTTACCTGTAATTGTCTAAAATTATTTTTGTGAAGCAAAGTTTGTTCAATTGCTCTTCATGCTACTATAACGTTTAAAAAAAAGTTAGCTTATGAAATTTGAATAGTTTGTATTCTAGCATTTAATGGATGGAGAAGTCAAGGAACTCTCAAAACTACAATCTTTTGTTTCCAGTAATTATTTCAATCTTTGTCTGTTGGAAGTTCTCTAAAAAAAACTTCCAAAACAGTGCACCTACTAAGTTCACTGCTCTACGTTGCAAATTTTTAATTTTTATATGCCTCTCCTGACTGCTGAATGTTTTATAGAAAAATAAATATGAATCTAACCTTTCCAAATTACAACAAACGTCAAAAAAAGCGGTAAATTATGACCAGAATGATTTCAAATTTGGCTTCTTGGTGTTTTTGAAAATTGAGAGTTTTTGGTCATTAATTAATAACATTTCCTGAAGTTTGGAAAGAGGAAAACGCAGCCTTTAAGAAAAGGCCAGTTTACCTTCAGGAATTGTTATGTGTAGACCACCTGTATAAAGCTACCGAACTGACGTCTAGCGAGCTGTTTGAAAGGAATTCTGATACC